GGTTAAGGGTGCTGGACTCCCACATTGGCGACCACAGTTGGGGTGCTGGACCTGGTGGTTTGCTTTCTCTCTCTCTCTCACTCTGTCTCTCTCTGGTCAAATTAAAATAAATAAGCAAATAAAATAAATTTTAAAAAAGTTTAAAAAATAAAGCACAGGAAAGGCAATACTAATTTAAGGTCAAAAGCATGAAGTGAAACGTAATTTTTTAGTTATGGAAATCCATAAACCTAAGTATCTTTGTCCAAAATCTGGCTAGGAGACCAGCAGATGGCATAATGGTTATGTCGCTGGGCTCCCATGTAGTCGACCCCAGTTTAAATCCTGGACCCCACGACTTAAAACATGGGGGAGACGGGGGGAGCAGGTGGCATGGTAGTTAGGGGCACTGGACTCCCACATGGCCAACCAGGTTCAAGTCCCGGACCTGGCGACTTGCTTTCTCACTTTCCCTTTGTCTTCACTCTTCTCTCTCTCTATCCCTCTCTGGTCAAATTTTTAAAAATAAATTTTAAAAAATTAAGTAGTCCTTAAAAACAGACTCCCACCAGGCACATGTGGTGGACACTCAAAAGTCCCAAGAGAAGGGACTGCGACGGTGCTTTCTCACTTTTCTCTGTCTCTTCTCTGGCAAGTGTATGTGCCCTATAGCAAAAAAAAGAAAAAAAAAAAAACCTAAAAAGAAATAAATTCCTTTATAACCCTTCTCCGTCCAACCGCAGGTAATCACTATTCTGCTTAGTGTCTCTGACGATTTCGAAACCCTGGTTGCGTTTGTGCTCAAAATCACAAGAGGAGACGGGATTGCAAAGTGGCCATCCCTGGAGGGGCGGCTCCTCACTTCTCTCTTGTCTCTTCCCTCTACTCTGCCCCTTGCTCTCTGGTGAGCGCACATCTGCTGTGGCAAAACATTTAGAGATAGCTTTCTTTCTTTCTTTCTTTTTTTTTTGGAGGGGTTTTTGCTATAGGGCGTGTGTGCTTGCCAGAGAGAGACAGAGTTTAAATCCTGGACCCCACGACTTAAAACATGGGGGAGACGGGGGGAGCAGGTGGCATGGTAGTTAGGGGCACTGGACTCCCACATGGCCAACCAGGTTCAAGTCCCGGACCTGGCGACTTGCTTTCTCACTTTCCCTTTGTCTTCACTCTTCTCTCTCTCTATCCCTCTCTGGTCAAATTTTTAAAAATAAATTTTAAAAAATTAAGTAGTCCTTAAAAACAGACTCCCACCAGGCACATGTGGTGGACACTCAAAAGTCCCAAGAGAAGGGACTGCGACGGTGCTTTCTCACTTTTCTCTGTCTCTTCTCTGGCAAGTGTATGTGCCCTATAGCAAAAAAAAGAAAAAAAAAAAAACCTAAAAAGAAATAAATTCCTTTATAACCCTTCTCCGTCCAACCGCAGGTAATCACTATTCTGCTTAGTGTCTCTGACGATTTCGAAACCCTGGTTGCGTTTGTGCTCAAAATCACAAGAGGAGACGGGATTGCAAAGTGGCCATCCCTGGAGGGGCGGCTCCTCACTTCTCTCTTGTCTCTTCCCTCTACTCTGCCCCTTGCTCTCTGGTGAGCGCACATCTGCTGTGGCAAAACCTTTAGAGATAGCTTTCTTTCTTTCTTTCTTTTTTTTTTTGGAGGGGTTTTTGCTATAGGGCGTGTGTGCTTGCCAGAGAGAGACAGAGATAGAAAGAGAGAAATCACCCCCCCAGGAGGGCTGGCCACGCCGCAATCCCTTCTCCATTCTCTCAGGATCTTGGGCATGCACGTGCACATGCGCCCGGTGTGAGTTTAAGCCACCGGGTCCAGGACTCGAACCATGGTTGACTACGTGGGAGTCCAGCGACATAGCCATTATGCTAACTGCTGGTCCCCAGAGATAGCTTTATTTCTTTAGGGTTGCCAAAGAGCATATATGCTCACCAGAGAGACAGAAAGAGGAAGCACCCCTCCCCATGGGGGACGGTCATGCCATAATCTCTCCATTTCTCTTTTCTGGAGTTTGGGCACATGCACACGTGTGTTTTTCAAGCCATTGGGTCAAAGGACTTGAACCACATATTTGATCATGTTGGTATCCAGCTACCTAATCACCATGCCATCAGCCAGCCCTGGGGAGGGGTGCTTCCCCTTGGAGGGAAGGCCATCCCACAGTCTTTTCTCCATTTTCCTCTGGGTTTGGCGCAGGCAACACTTGTATTAGGATGATTTTTAATCCTCTGGGTTTGGGACCCAAACAACAATGGATCTTGCAGAAGTCCAGTGCCCTAACCACTTTGCAACCTAGTGGCTCTTCTTTCATTGTTTTTTTTTTTTTTCTTTTTAAGTTTCAAGAGAGCCCAGGCTCAATCAGACTAAAGAGGTGGGAGAGGGAAGAGCACCTCCCAATTATGCATATTCATGCCATAAACCTTTCTCCCTTTTTTTTTTTGGCAGGGGGAGGGGAGAGGTTTTTGCTACAGGGCGTGTGCACTTCTCAGAAGACAGAGACAGAAAGCGAGAAATCACCCCCCAGAGGGGATGGCCACGCCACAATCCCTTCTTTATTCTCCTCCTGGGATCTTGGACACACACGCACACGTGCCCAGTATGAGTTTGAGCCACCGGATCTGGGACTCAAACTGTGGTTGGCTACATGGGAGTCCAGCAACGTAGCCAGTACGCCATCTGCTGGTCCCTCTCCTTTTTTTTAAAATTTAATTTTATTGTCATTTTTTGTTTTTTATTTTAATTTTATTTATTCATTCATTTATTGTAATTTGGCCAGAGAAACACAGACAGAGAGGGAGGGAAATTAAGAAAGCAAGCCACCAGGTCCAGGTCTTGAACAGTATGGTTGGCTATGTGGGAGTGTCCAGCGCCTTAACCACCATGCCACCTGCTGGCCTCTATATTTTCTTTTTTTGAAGTTGACCAGAGAGAGACAGAGAGAAAAGGAAAGCGAGAAAGCAAGCTGCCAGGTCCAGGACTTGAACCATGGTCAGCCATGTGGGAGTCCAGATGCCTTAACCACCACGCCACCTGCCGGCCCCTTTCTCCCATTTTTCAAAAAAAGTTTTCGCTGTAAAGCATTTTAGCTCACTAGGGACAGGGAGAGAGAGGAAAAGTGAGAAATCACCACCACCGGTCCCCCCACCAGGGTGAATAGCCATGCTATACTCCCTCCTTTACCCTCCTCAGGATTTTGGGCGCAGGTGACCAGCGTGTTTTTAAAGCCACTGGGTTTGGGATTTGAACTGCATAGTTGGTCATGTGCGATCCAGCTGCCTTAACCCCACCCCACTGGCTGGACCCCATTTCTCCATTCTGTTGGGATTTGGGGCACCCACTTAGTTTTGTTTTGTTTTGAAGATAGATTTTTGCTGTAGCGTGCATGCACTTGCCCAAGAGACAGAACACGAGAAGTCACCCCACTCCCCCGTGGAGGATGGCCATACCACAATCCCTTCTCCATCCTCAAGATTTTGGGCATGCACTCACACACTTCTGGCATGAGGTTTAAGCCACCGGGTCTGGACTTGAACTGCAGTTGACTATGTGGGAGTCCAGCAACGTCACCAATAACACCATCTGCTGGTCCCCTCCTTTTTTTTTAATTTTAAGAGAGATTTTTGCTGTAGGGTGCATGCACTCACTAAGAGAGAAAGTGAGAAATCACCCCACAGGGGTTGACCACGCTGCAGTCCCGTCTCCATTCTCTTGGGTTCTTGGGCACACATGCACCTGGCATGAGTTTTAAGCCACCAAGTCCGAGTCTCAAGCCATAACTAACTTCGTGGGAGTCAGCAACGTAATCAGTATGACATCTGCTGGGCCCCCACCCACTTGGTTTTAAAGTTAACTGGACTAGGACTTGAACTACACTCAGCCCTGTGGAATGCAGCTTCTCTTAACCACCAGGCTATGGGCCAGATTGTCGTCCCTTTCCTGTTTTTTTTTTTTTTTTAATTTATGATAAAGTGTATGACAGAGAAGTGAGGTGAACACCCTTCACAGGATCTCATCCTGTTATTTCCCCCCCTTCCTCCAGTTCTCCCAACTGGTGGGTCATGCACCCTCACATCTGCCCCATGTTTGAGGCTGACTGGACTGGGGACTCTACCTCTCCACTTTGTATAAGACTCATGTTTTGGGACTAGCAGAAGGCACAATGGTTATGCCACTGCACTCCCGTGTAGATAACTGTGGTTCAAGTCCCGGACCCAACAGCTTTAAACTCACTCTGGGTGCGTGCGCGTGCATGCCCAAAAGCCGGAGAGGAGAATGAAGGAAAAGGGATTATGGCGTGGCCATCCCCCCGAGGGGTAATTTCTCACGGTCTGTCTCTGTCAGTCTGTTGACATCTTTTATAAGTGGAGTTTTAATGATCATGTATAAGTTTTATGTTCTAGTTTTTTCTCATAAAGTACACATACCCATCTTGTTAATGACCCTTTATAATAAAATTGTGTAGAGTACATAGATTTCTTTTTAAAGAATTATTTTATTAACTTTATTATTATTATTTTCTGATTTTAAAAGCAAGAGAAAGGGAAAGTGAGAAAGCAAGCCACTAAGTCCGGGACTCAAACTGACATTGCCCATTTGGGAGTCCAGCGCTCTCAACCAGTATGCCACCTGCTGGCCTGAGTACATAGATTTCTGACTTAAGAATTATTTATTTGTCTTTATTTATTTAAATTTGACCAGAGAGGGACAAAGTGAGAGTGAGTGAGAGAGAAAGGAAGCTAGCCACCAGTTCCAGGACTCCAACCACAGTCAGCCACGTGGGATTCCAGCACTCTCAACCACCACGTCACCTGCTGGCCCTAGTACATAGATTTTTTTAATGAAGATCATATTTTTGAGTTTCTTGAGAACTCTTTAGTAAACAAGATTTTTCCCCCTTTGTTTTTCAGGTGGACATGTTTTAAGAGCCTTCAATTTCTGGACTTCTTGTAGGCCTACAGGAACAAAAGTTATTCGTAAGGAAAGACAAATTTCAGTTTTAACAACATAGCCACAATGACCAACATGCAATCAGAGATTGCTAGACTCATGAAGACACAGGAAAATATCACTTGTGTTGATCAGAAGGGCTTAATGGAAACTGAAGAAGAGTTAGCCCCAATATTGGACTTAAAATGTAAAAACATATCCGCAGTCTTTATGAAAAAGTTTAAGGTTTTGATGGAAATCCAAGACCTGATGTTTGAAGAAATAAGGGGAACTCTTAAAAATGACCTAAAGGAGATTCTAAGAGTAGAAAATATAGTACCTGAAGTGAAAAGTTCAGAGAACAGCAATAGCAGGGAAGAAAAACAACAAATAAAAGATGAAGCCTCACTGAAAACAGGGTTGGCTGAGAAAATAGGAGGAAACGCAAAAGTAGTTGAAGATATTGAAAGTTTAATCTCTGAAAGAAAAATAGATGAGCTCAGTAGCAAAATAGGCAAAGATAGTGGAGAAGATAAACTGGTCAAAGAAATGGGAAATGGAAATAAACTTAGGAACTTCACAAATGAAGAAAAAATTCCAAAAGCATCCAGACAGGAAAAAGACTTGCTTGAGGAAGGAGCAGTACTGACACTAGCAGCAGACTTCTCATCAGCAGCACTGGATATTAGTAAGCAATGGAGTAATACATTCAACATTCTGAGAGAAAATGATTTTGAACCTAAGTTTCTATGCCAACTTAAGTTAGCATTTACATGTGATGGTGAAATAAAGACATTTTCAGACTTGAAAAGCCTCAGAACATTCATCAGCCAAAAATCTGTTATGAAAGAATTACTGAAAGATGTATTCCCACAAAATGAAGAAAGAAGATATGAAATTCAAAGAGAAGTGGTAAGCATACAGAATTTTGAAACTTAAAATGGTTGGAACAGTTATTTTGAATGTTAAGTTCATTTTTAAAAAATGATTTCTTAGGGACCAGCAGTTGGCGTAATGGTTATGTTGCTGGACTTCCTCATAGTCAACTGCGGTATAAGTCCTGGACTTGGTGGCTTAAACTCACACTGGGTGCATGCGTGTGCGTGCCCAAGATCCTGAGAGGAGAATGGAGGAGAAGGGATTGCGGCATGGCCATCCTCACTGGGGGGGGGGGGGTTATTTCTCACTTTCTGTCTCTCTTTCTGGCGAGTGCACATGCCCTATCACGAAAACCTCTCAAAAAGAAAAATTTCTTAAAAGCATGACATTTTAAAAACAATAATTTTTTTTGAGAGAGATTTATGCTGTAGGTGTGTGGGCTAGCCAGACAGACCGGCACGGAGACAAAGTGAGAAATCACCCCCCAGGGTGATGGCCATGCCACAATCACTTCTCTGTTACCCTTTCAGGATTTTGGGCATGCATGCACGTGCACCAGGCGTGAGTTTTAAGTCACTGGGTCTGAGACTCGAACCACCATCAAATAGCCACTATGCCATCTGCTAGTCCCCAAAATAATTATTTTAAAATGTGTGCTATTTGGGTTTCTTTGCTCCTAGCCACACTGGTGCTAGCAGGAGGGCATTTCTACATGAGGCCAGGGCCATGTGGGACTCCCGGGTAGAGGTCCTAGACCAAGTTGACAAGGCCTGGTGTGGCAGAAGGAGATCCCAATGCTAAGTCATTGGGAGCCTGAGAGCAGAGTATTGCAACAAGAGATCTTATCAAAAATAACACTGTCCTCTTGTCCCTTACTCTCCTTTTTCCTTTTTTTTTCCTAAAAAAAGAATTATTTTATTTAACTTTTGACTCATTGATTTATTTTAATTTGACCAGAGAGGGACAGAGAGAAAATGAGAAAGCAAGCTGCCAGGCCCAGGACTCAAACCGTGGTCGGCCATGTGGGAGTGTTCTTAAAGACACTTAAGTTATTTTCTGAATATTTCTCATTATTCTGTCTTTTTGTTTGTTTTATAGAAGTTTTTGCCTTAGGGCCTTGTGTGCTCTCTGGAGAGAGGCAGTGAAGATAGTCCTGGGGCCAGCAGATGGAGCGGTGGTTAAGGCACTAGACTCTGACATGACTGACCACAGTTTGAGTCCTGAACCTGGTGGCTTGAGAATCACGCCAGGTTCATGTGTGTGCCTGCCCAAAATCCTAGGAGGTGAACAAAGGAGAAGGGATTCCAGAGTGACAGTGCCCCCTGGGGAGTGATTTCTCACTTTCCTCTCCTTGTCTCTTTCTAGCGAGTGCATGCACCCAATGGCAAAAATGTAAAACCAAAAAAGTCATTCTTCTAGCATAGTATAGAGATTTGTTTTAAAGCAGATTTTTATAAAGAATTAATTTTTGTCTTTAATTTGAACAGAAAGAAACAGAGAAAGAGAAAGTGAGAAAACAAGCCACCAGATCTTGGACTCAATCCTCTATTGACCATGTGGGAGTCCAGCACCTTAAGCGCCAGACCACCTGCATAGAGCCTTCATACATGTGCTGTGTATGTGTTTTTATTATATGTGATAACCCATCCACTGTTAATAGATAGAATATTTCCCCTGTGTCAGATACTGTTCTAGGGTCCAGCAGATGATATTATGGTTATGTTGCTGGACTCCCACCTAGCCGACTACCATTTGATCTCTGGACCTGGTCACTTAAAACTCACTGCTGGGTCATGAGTGTGTGTCCAAGATCCTGAGAAAAGAATGGAGAAGAAGGGATTGTAGTGTGGCCATCCCCCCTGGGAGGTGATTTCTCGCTTTCTGTCTCTCTGTCTCTCTCTCTGTCTTTCTCGTGAGCGCACGCGCCCTATAGCAAAAACCTCTCCATTAAAAAAAATTTTCTTTAAATCACTATTTAAAGAAATTACTGCTTTTTAACTTTCAGGGCAATATCCTAACAGACTCCAAGCATGGAGTTGGAGAAACAGCAAGTGATGGCTTGAGCTTTCTCTTTGTTAAAGAGGTAAAAGTTGCTAAGCCTGGGGAAGTGCAGAGCTTAGAGGCCCAGAAAGAAGAGTCTTCAGCATGGAAAAAACACAAAACCCCTAAGCTGGAGGAAGAAGAGGCCTCAGAGGTGGAGGACGTGGAGGAAATGTCCTCAGGGCTGGAGGAGGAGGAAGAAGGGGGAGAAGAGATCTCAGAACTCGAGGAGGAGGAGGAAGAAGAGGGAGAAGAGACCTCAGAACTAGAAGAGGAAGAGGAAGAAGAGATCTTAGGGCTGGAGGTGAAGGACTCAACTTCTCAGGGTCGTGCTGTGGTAGATACAAAGTATGAAGTTGAGGAACTCACTGATGATGGCTCCAAGACTGTTTTCATGGATAAGTATAGAAAATATTCATGTACAAATTTGAGTATTTTATTAGGAGATACAGATCTTTTAAGAAAAACAGAGGAAGAGGAACACAAAACTCTGCAAACAGAAGAGCTGACATCCAAAGAAGCAAATTTAAAACAGGACACTGAAGAACATTTTAGAAGAAGTGTGATTAATATCATCAGAGAGATACAAGAGGAAATTAGTAATACAAAAAATTACCATCCAGAAGTCTTGGAAAATAAAAATGTAATAGATGATCTGAGAAGCAGAATGGACCTCCTGGAGGAAATAGTGAACAGTCTAGAAGGTCGAA